AAATCAACTATTTAAAAGTTCTCATTTTTTATGTAATTTATTTAATTTATTTTTTTATCATAATTTAATTTAAGTTTAATAACGAAATAATTTATTTTTGGTTTAATAATATAACATTTTATAAAGATAATAATTAAGTATTTTGTTAGAACTCAATGATTATCTTAATAATATTTTAGATATTTTATATATTTAAATGAGATGTTTATCATGTATTTGATTATGTTTATCTGCAGTTAGTTACACGAATTCAGATATGAAGCTTTAATAAGTTGTATTTACGCATAATCTACTTGCAATCTTGAGTTTTAAGTAATATGCATTCATAAACAGCATTTTACGCATAAAAAATGGTTTTTAAGAGTTTTTGTCAAATGCTTTATAATATAGTATAGATAAACATTTGATTTTTCTTTTATAAAATTAAATATATAGAAACATTAGAATGAAATTTGATAATATCATATATATCTTTTTTGGGTAACTTAGTTTTTTCTCCATGATTATAAAGATCAAAGATTCTGACAGTGTTTGGATTCAAAGTTCAAACTTATGATAGATGAAATTTTCCACTACATCCCTCTAATATATCTTTACCAGTATGATATATCAGTATTTATGATAAATACATAAATTTGATACTATATCAGATATCAACCGATAAGAATAAGTTAGAGATGGACCTAGAAAACTTTTAATGAGTGATCGATCCATGCATAATAAAAGGTCATGGTTTTAACCACTCTCGTACAAAAACAAAAGCTATAGAAACCTAAAATTAGGAATTGTATAAGAAATTTGGTAAAAGTGAGATCCAAACCCCCTCCTTTTCGAACAAAAAAACTTTAATACGATGACTTGGATCAGCTCAGCCATCACAAACTTGTACCACACATTTATTTTTAAGAAAAATATAAAGCACACAACGAATATTTTTAAGAAATAAATTTTGTTTCTATTACGAAGAAACTATGAAACAATACCATGGGCCATAATATGCTTCCACATGAACATGCCTTTTTTCCCTGTACTTTTTAGATTTTTAGGGGCTGTTTACCAAAAATCTATTAGATAAATGCTTACCGGTAAAGTTCAACACTATTACTTGCTTACCGGGTAAGATTTTAGTCCATTAAAACGACACATTATACAATAATTTACTCTTGTTCCTTGTCTCGCTCTTACCGGGTAAGATTTTTGATCCTTATCATATTCATCTGTTAAAAGATGTGACTTGGTAAACGCTTACTCAGGCAAGTGTTTGGTAAACAACATCTTAGTAAAACAAAGATTATGAAAACAAGTCATGATATACTCTTGAGTATATTCAAGCCAACCAATTTTTCTTGACAATAAACTTGTGGTATAAATTTGTGATACTTGAGTTGATACAAATCGTCGTATTAAAATTTTCTGTTCGAAATGAAATAATTTAATTGAATATTTGACATATATAAATATTATATATTGAAAAAAAAAACTTAACTTATTGTCTTAAAACCAAATTCACCTTGAACTTTCATTTTACCTAGAGTTTATGTAAATGATTTATCGTAAATTCATTTTTCAGATTAAATAAAAATAAAAAGAAATTTTTTATACAAATTTATGTAAAGATCCACATTTAAGTAAAGATTTTTTTGAAAAAATATAAAAATAGGATTCACCGTAAATGCATAATGTATTTATATAAACTCTTACAAAAAATAGAAATTTAATTTTAAACGTGATTATAAATTAAATTTAAAAATTTAATTTTAAACGTGATTAAAAAATAAATTTAAATTTTCTTTAAAAATATAATATTTATTTACAACCAAATTAACCTTCTAATCATTTCTCTCGAGACTTTATCGAAAAGTCACTAGATCCGCAATATCATGTCTGCAATTATCACGGACCCATTAAACAACAAAATTTTAGAGTTTCTAGCCCAAGTATGTAATTATTACGGATGCAATCTAAAACCCATTTTTCTTGAATCTGTAATGCCCAAACACGTAGATGTCCATCTTCATAAGAAAATGGGTTTTAGCCTGGATCCGTAATAATTGCGGACCTAACTTAGTTAGTCCATAATAATTGTTTGACCTTAGTATTGAGAATTAATGATTTTTAGGTAAATTCCAAAGTAAAATGGTGAATAGGTTAATATGATCGTAGAATAGGGTCAATTGAGTCAATTCCTGAAAATTTAAGATTTAATTTTGAGTTGGTTAAGGAACCAATGTGCTGTTTACGTGCGTTGGTGCGTGGGAAGGCTGTAAGGAACAGGTGATGGCAGCAGAGGAGGAGTTATCTCCTACATGACACAACGCGCTCGCCCTCATCACTTTCCGCGGACCCTTCAATGTCGACCGTTGATTTCTTCTCCTTCCTTCGTCCTATATAGTATATTGCCATTGTACCGTTAGGTTTCAAAAACCCCACACATTCCCTTCAATTTCTATCCCTCTTTCTCTGCAAATCATCGGTTGTGAGGAAATTGGTCCAGATTTCGGATGGTTTGTGAAGATTTGACTATGGTTTCGCCTTCCTTTCCTGTCATTGAAGGTTAGTTTTTCTTTTCACCTGTTTTTTATCTGTTTCCTTCGATTTTGTGAAGAAGAGTGGATCTGTTTGTTAAATTGGCATCTTAAATGGTTTTAATCGTTCTATGATCATCATTTTAGCAAATATTATTGAATTCAACAAATAAAATAGGTTGCACAATCGCCATTAGCAATGTCGTTGTATTGAACATGAAAACCTATTAGAATAATCTCTGTTTCTATATTATTACTGCTGTAGACGGGATGAAATTAGGAGATGATTTTGTTATTCCTGGATTGCTGTCTGGTTCGGATTCGGATCTGAGATCCGGCTGGACTATTTATTTTTTGTGTTCCTCAAATGTTACTTTCATCATCAACATGGATCCAGCAAGAAAAAGCGTTTTCCTTAATTTATGGCTGAAGATTAGTTTTCTTCTCTACTTTATGTTTAAACTTTTACCTTTACTTGTTCTTTTAGGGAAAGGAAAGGATAGTGATCATTTGAATTTTACCGAGTAAAGGATTCGTTCATGATAACCCAATAGTTATGTATCAAAACCTTTCTCATGTGGTTTTGAGTCCTTCTGGAAAAATTATGCACATGGATTGCTTTGATGATATATATTGTGGTTCTTAGATTCAGAGTTATCTAAACAACACATATATCCCGATCCGTTCCCGGACAAACACATACAGAATCCAGGAATAACCCTAATTTCATCATGTCTACAGCACTAATAATACAGGAACAGAGGAGATTCACTTTATACTAATAGCTTTTCATAATCAATACAATGACATTGCTAAAATGGCGATTTTACAACGTTTAAAATGGTCAACAAAATCTTTTCGTGTTAAAAACACCTAAGATACTCCACTCAAGGTAGTGTTTTTGTATCTTATCTAAACTGGGTCTTCCACTATTTTGTTCTTGCTCTTTTTCGTTTTTCTACATTTGGAAAATTGGTAATTGCACACTGTTAAGACCATCAAGGAATCAATTAATTAAGGAAACGATCATGCCTACCCTACCCCTAGAAAACTTCGTCTGAAAATGTCTTTTCTTTGAAGTTATGCTATTTCTTGTATTCCTATTTTTATACTAATTGATTTTGTCCGGTCCACAACTGCCAGGCCTGCAAAATATCCAATGATGACTTTATTTAGCATTTCTTATAGGATATGCACATGGCTCCTTTATTGCTTGTCTAGATCATCTTTTTAAATACAAGTATAACCCTTGACCCTTGTCCATTATTTTAACCAAATAGAGACTAATTTTTGTTTAGCCTTTTGATAAGTCCAATGGGTGGGTCCCTTGGACATGCCTCTTTTATAGACTTGTTTTGCATCATTCATACCTTTACAAATGATGAATATTGATGTGATTCAAAATTATCAAACACTTATATTAAATACTTAAAATAGGAGTCCCTACTTATAATTACTTTATCAGATAACATTCTCGTCAATCAAAATAGATTATTGGTAATGTCTCTTACCCGGTAAGTGCAGAGTCTTCTCCATCATTTACCGGGTAAGATTGTCGACTTTACTGGATTCGTAAATGACACCTGATAAGTGCTTACATGGTAGATTTTATGCATTTCCCTCGTGCGGGAAACCCTTGTTGTGTAAAAGTATAATTAGCAACATCTCTAACAAACAAAGTTTATTCATTACGTAGCATTCTCTTCATTTCAAGACATGTTTATACCAAACCAACTACATATTCAATAAGAATCGAAATAAACTGTAACTTATGTTAAATCGCTCTCATATTTTCCTTCATCCATAGAAATTAAATGTCAATTTTCCTTTTTTTTTCAGTCTTGAATTCAATGGCTGATGGAAAGAAGTACATAACATCAGAAGAGTTAGGAAAGCATAACAAGCCTGGTGATCTATGGATCTCCATTCAGGGTAAAGTTTACAATGTTACAGAGTGGGCTAAAGAACACCCTGGTGGAGATATTCCACTCTTGAATCTTGCGGGCCAGGATGTGACCGATGCATTCATCGCGTTTCATCCTGGTACCGCATGGAAGCATCTTGACAAACTCTACACAGGGTATCATTTAAAGGATTATCAAGTTTCGGATGTTTCTAGAGACTACCGGAAGCTTGCTTCCGAGTTTTCAAAGGCCGGGATGTTTGATAAGAAAGGGCATGGTGTAATATACTCACTATGTTTCGTGTCTTTACTCCTTTCCGGGTGTGTATACGGAGTTCTATATTCCACCAGTTTCTGGGTTCATATGTTTGCTGGAGCATTGTTGGGATTAGCATGGATGCAAATCGCTTACTTGGGTCATGATGCCGGGCACTACCAAATGATGGCTACTCGTGGGTGGAACAAATTCGCTGGAATCTTTATCGGGAACTGTATAACAGGTATAAGCATCGCGTGGTGGAAGTGGACACATAACGCGCATCATATCGCTTGCAATAGCCTCGATTACGATCCCGACCTTCAACACTTGCCAATGCTAGCAGTCTCTTCTAAACTCTTCAACTCGTTAACGTCCGTTTTCTATGGCAGGCAATTGACATTCGATCCGTTGGCTAGATTCTTTGTAAGCTACCAACATTATTCATATTATCCCATCATGTGTGTCGCAAGGGTCAACCTGTACTTACAGACATTGCTGTTGCTGATTTCAAAGAGAAAGGTGCCCGACAGAGGTCTAAACATTCTTGGAACCCTTGTTTTCTGGACCTGGTTTCCTCTTCTTGTTTCGTGCTTACCCAATTGGCCGGAAAGGGTGGCCTTTGTGTTGGTCAGCTTTTGTGTTACGGGCATCCAACACGTTCAGTTCACGCTGAACCACTTTGCCGCAAACGTTTACATAGGTGCACCAAAGGGGAACGATTGGTTCGAGAAACAAACAAGTGGGACGATCGACATTTCGTGCTCTTCTTGGATGGATTGGTTCTTCGGTGGCTTACAGTTTCAACTCGAGCACCATTTATTCCCGAGATTGCCTCGGTGTCATTTGAGGTCGATCTCGCCTATTGTGAGGGACCTTTGCAAGAAACACAATCTGCCGTATACGAGTTTGTCGTTCTACGATGCTAATGTAACGACACTGAAAACGCTTAGAACCGCAGCGCTACAGGCACGAGATGTTGCGAACCCGGGTCCTCCCCAGAATTTAGTATGGGAGGCTTTTAATACTCATGGATGAGGGAGTTGTTAGTACGGAAGACTCAATTGGGAATTTTTTTATTTGAGCAGTAAGAATTAAAAAGGATGTGTTCCATATTTATTGAACAGTAGATAATTGCTATTAACAGTGTATAATTGTTGTATTATGTATGTTGTTTTTCACCTTGTATTTATTTAATTAATACTATGATTTTAAGATGGCAACTAATTCTTTAACCCTCATGCTCTCTCAAATCGATTTATGCTTCAAGCCTTTGCATCTCCACGATCACGGGTATATCGATTTACTGGTAAATCCATTTCTGTTTTAAACCTCAAATCGGTTTTTGCTTCAAACTTGTGTATATAAATTTACCGGTAAAGAGATTTCTGCTTTTCGATTTCTGCTTCGAAGGTCAAATCGATTTCTACTTCAAACCTGTGTATATCGATTTACTGGTAAATCCATTTCTGCTTCTCTCCATGGTTTCAATTTACTAGTTTTCGTTTCTCGTCAATGGTTCCGATTTCTCCCTGTTGATTTCTCTCTATGGTTTCAGTTTATTGGTTTTCCTTGTTGGTTCACATACTGCTATGTGTTTGTTCATCATACATGTAAACGTGTTCATACACGTTTTTCGGTTTTTCCTTGTTGGTAGTCTATAGAAAATGTAATATTCAAGATCAATTGTTAGAAATTTTTAATTGTATTCAAACCGTTTAAAATATAGACGGGGTATTTTGGTCATTTTAAACATTCAGATTATTTAATCAGCATAACAACCAAATAATAACTTATCTATACTACCTTATAAACCAGATTTATCAAAAGTCTTAAAAAAATTAATGCACAAAGTACTATACATTTATGCACAAAGTCTTAAAAACAACTCATAATGCATTAAATACTACTCTTTATGCATTAAAAATAACATATAGTACAAGTTATCAATGCACATTATTACCTTTTCTTTTTATGTTTCCAAGATACTTTTGACAACTTTCACTCATGTCTTCACTCTCTCATACCTCTATGTTTTCCCCATCCCCCAATGTGAGATTCAAATTGATATTCACTATGAGTTATTAAAAAGTTCTCTCATTCAATTGCTCTAAAACTCTCAGTCTCACTCTTGATTTCTTGATTTTTTGCTCTTGGTGTAAATCAAACACATTTGTGGAGTCGTTGAATTATGTTGGATTTTAAATTGTTATACAATTTTTTTCATCGATAAACTGTAATTGGAACCATAACTCTTATTTATTCAAATTGTATTAATATGTAAAAGTAACTTATATCAATTCACGGCTCCAGCTATATTGTACGGATACACAACAAATCTATTATCATACAGAAACTTTATCGATACAGATGTTAATAAAAAATAAACTTAACAACCTCTAAGTCTTACAACTTTCGTATAAATTATTCACTTAATCCGTGAACCTCATGACATGATTAGTCCTTCACTTGGACTTTTTCTTTTAACTTTTTACGTGTTTTTAGGGGTGACATCTTTCAAAAAAACATGCTAAAAGAATTAATATCACACATATATATATAGAGAGAGAGAGGGGTTGATTATTATACAATTCTTAACATTACTAATACAACTCAATCTCAACCGTTTATTTCATTTGATTAATATGTGATTTCATAAAAGTTTTTATTGTTTCCTAATATAAAGTATCGATCATAATTAATGAACCATATTCATCTTCTATAAATATTTAAATCATAATAAATGAACTCTCATTATTTCCATAAATATCTCAATACATTGGGTTGTATTGGTTGTACAAATGCGATGAGTTGTATTTGAAACAAACTCTTATATTTATATATATATATATACACACACACACACACACACATACATATATACAGGGTTGGGTTCATGTGAGACCAATGGTTTTTCGTGAGACCCGTAAGACCAATTTATGTTCATTGATCAACTTTATAAGCTAATGATCTAACGGTTTAAAATTACAATGTGGTAATTTTGTGATTATTGAGAAGTCTAATGACAATTTTGTGATTACGAATGTTCAGATTGTAGATTTAATCCAAAAGTTGAGAATTAATCTTACAGGTCTCACGAAAAACCTTTGGTCTCACATATAAGATGCACACCCATTTCAATATTATATTCATATAAAAAATATACGAAATGAATTAACTTTTTGAATTTGTTTTAAAAATATTTTGAAGTTGTTGAATGAAAAAATGTTTGAGGGATTACTATGTTATCTTCACAAATATTTTACATATAAGATGCACACCCATTTCAATATTATATTCATATAAAAAATATACGAAATGAATTAAATATTATTATAAAAATAAAAGTTGCTGGCCCAATAATTCTTCAATGAGCTTTTGTCAGCCAAGGCTACAAGCAAACAAAACTTGGGGTTTATTCATAAATTATTAATTCAACTTAAACCATTTTTTACTAATATTTTAACTAAGTGGTTCAATTTTATAATCATCATCAAATCAAATTAAACAAGAAAATATCAAAATAAAAGAATATAATAATAATTAAATTACATATGATTTTACATTAAACTCATATGCAAAACAACATGTGATTATGCACGAGCTTGCCCCATAACTTAGTTGCCCGTACAAGTTATGTTGACCGTGCTCCAAAATGACATGTGATTTGATTGTTTTCGTACATATTTTCGTTTTACCATCTCTCTCTCTCTCTCTCTCTCTCTGTCTCTCGATACACGTATACATATAGAGAAAGACATTTTGTTAATACAAACTTTGCTAACCCGGGTTATATTCGTCTTTTCATGTATTGATATCATATCTTTTAATTATCTCATTTACTTTGTTTAAGCTTCCTTAATTATTTGATTCACTTTCTGGCTTCACCTATGAACTTTGATAAATTTTTTGAACAACCAATGTTCATACACGAAGCAACATTATAAACTTTAAACAAAAATCATTATTTCACTTATGAACTTTCTGGTTTCACTTGTGAATTTCGGTAATAAAAAAATCAAAACAATCAAAGTTCTTAGATTAAACAACACTATAAATTTTTAACAAACACCATATAAAACATGATTATCTTCCAAAAAAAAAATTGTTTCAAAATTCGTCCTCCATTTAAATTTATTTTCTTTCTCGTTATTTTATAACCTATTTGACCATAACCTTTAAAAAATAATGAACAACTTAGATGAATTTGTAAAACTAATATTAATTAATTGATTAACAAATGATTATGTGTGTATATATATATATATATATATACATATATATATATATGGGCATAATCAAAAGAGAACTGATTAGTTTGTGGTAACTGTGAGAACCAATGTGAGCCACTCATTTAAATAATTAATATTATATCCTAAAATAACATAAAGGGTAAATTGGTAATGTTTATAATTWTAAAACCCTACTCTTCTCCTTCATTATGAAACAGCCGTCCTCCAGCATAAGCATGCTTCTCTTCCTTTCTTTCCCCCTTCTCACGCACAACAACCACCACACCATCATTCATCATCACATGGAAAATCAATCAAACCAGGTACCAGAGTTTTTATATAAATGGGATAACGATCATCATTGACGATGCGTTGAATAAGAGGTTGAAGATCCTTGTAAGTGACCATTGGAATCTTCGACTTGAAAGTTTCTCGATCGGTGGCTCCGTCGAGATTGTAAAGCTTGAGATACTCAGTTTTATCGTTCCGGCTTATTATCGCCGCCAAAACATTCGCCTGAACGGTGTCAGCGCTGCTCGTCATCTTCTCGATGAACTCAAGCGCCTTCGCATCTTTTTCGAACGCCGGCAAATCCACAAAAGATCTCCGATCATCAGTCGTCATGATGATGATGGTAGATTAGCACAGGTGTCGCCGGAGATGTAAACCAGATCTCGTCGGAGATGTAACTCCGAAGATGTSCCACTCMTTTTCTGTGGTACACAGTGGTACCCCAATGGTATCACAGTATATCACAATGGGTATCACATTGTGTATCTTTGTGATTACTTGGTACCTGCCGGATTTTTGTTCACCGGAAGCCGGAGATTGGAGGTCGGAGAGAGGAGAGAGGAGTTTTTTAAAAATACATAAAATGCCTCTAATTATAATTTTAACTCAAACTACCATATTTATTAATTTCCTAATTTATTCGTTAATTTGTGGTTGAGATTGGTTCTCACAGTTACCACAAACTAATCAGTTCTCCTTTGAATGAGCCCCTATATATATATATATATATATATATGGAAAGGTTCAAACGAGAACCCTTATGATTTACAAAAACTTGAGAACACTTGTAAGCCAAGTATTATATGTTAAATCACATTTTAATAGTATTTGAGAGATTTTTAAATTTTAAATGAATTTTAATTTTTTTTCAAAAACAAGAAAGATGTGAGGGGTAAAACTGGAAATAAGGATATAAAATAAAATAACATGATCAAATTACATTACATAATAGGGTCGATGGTTTCGGGGAGAAAGAAATCAGTCGACTTTGGAGGCGTAGACGAAGAAGAGGAGGGCGATTTATAAGAGGTATGTGTTACTTATCACATCTTTATCACATACACAACATATATCAATGACTCCTTCTATACCACACAATTATCACAGTGTATGTACCACACCATTAGGGCAAAATCAAGAAGTTGTTATTATGTTTGGGCATCACAGATTTATCATAGTGTAATAATTGTAAGGAGAAATCGAGAAATTAGACTCTGAATCAGTAAAATATGCTCATTTCCCTTCTTTATCACAACATTATCACAGTCATGAGTATCACATGCTTAGGGTAAAATCAAGAAATTGTTATCCTATTTGGCTATCACATATTTATCACGGTGTGATTATCGTAAGGAAAAATCGATAAATCGTTACCCTATGACACATTTATCACAGAGAAGGGATAATCATAATACAATAGCGATTGGGTGTTGAGGGATTATTATCACATTTGGACGAATCGATTAAGAAAAGTTGGTTAAGTATCACATGATTATTATAGTTAACACTTTGAATCGATATGCAGAAGTTGATTAATAATAACATTGTTATCACAAATTTATTACATTGTGATTATCGTAAGAAAAAATCGATAAATCGTTACCTTATCACACATTTATCACAAGGAAGGGATAATCATAATACAGTAGTGATTGGGTGTTGAGGGATTGTTATCATAGTTGACGAATCGATTAAAAAAAGTTGCATG